ATGGCAAACCAGGGGCGGAGCAGACAAGGCAGCAAGGGCAGGAGAGGCCCCTCCCCACCAGAAGCGATAAGCAAACCACGGCAAGCCACCGCCGCCCCTTCTTCCGTCAATGCATTGCATCCCCTTGAACATTGGGCAAATCACCTGGAGAAGGCAAACATTTAATGTGGGCTCGTCCGATGCCAACAGCTGCAAAGCAGGCCATGCTCTCTCTGCCGATGTCGGAAGCAGCACGCTCAATGATGCGCTCTCCAAATGAGCTCGCCATGGCAAAGCCGCCCAGGAACTCTCAATCAACTGCAACTAACTTACAACAAGAGGCGAGGGAGTCTTCTTGCGAAGGAGTCTTCTTGCCACGGAAGGGCTTTCTTTGGGAAGTCATGTATGGCAAATCCTGAATTGACTACCTACCAAGTAACGAACGGTTTGGGGAGGGTTCTTTTTGCGGGCAGCATTGAGGCATCAACAAGGCCTCTGCTTGCAGCGCGACCTTTGGTCTTCAAATGCCGCCAGGGCGTCCCTCAATTTGTCTGTATTTCATGCAGAAGAGTGCGAGTTGCGCAAGTGTCGTTTCCATAAGCTAAATCTGCTTCTGACACCAGAGCGAAACAAAGGGGGGGGATGCAGGATCTGCCCAACCAACGTGCTGGGGAAGGGTAAGCACAGGAGCTGGCTGTCATGGCAAGTCGCTCCAACGCGACAGCTAGGCGACGTAAGTTCGGCCAGAGGCACGCGGCTGAGGCCTTCAGAGTGGATCTCCTGCGGCTCAGCATCGAAACCACTCGTCGAACTTAATCGCAGGCTTGCTGATTGGAATAGATGGTTCAAAAAGAAAACGAGATGCTACGGTCCAGCAAGGGTTCTGCTGTTTGACTGTGACTAAGAGCTTTTGGGGGCTGAACTTCAACAGTGCTTCCTCATCCTTCATCTGCCATTCTGGCCCTCCTGAGTTTAGCCCATGGCGAGAGATTTGATTGATTCAAATCCTTCTGGATGTCAAACATGGTTGTCCGACTGGTCCCTTGGGCTTGGGACGCAGTTAAAAGCAGGTGCTCTAACTCAGCTAGATGAGATCTGCCAGGACGGAAAGTGTCTTAGGGACCCTGTGGCGGGGTATAGCTAGCCTCTGATAGCTTTGGGGGGCCCCTCCCTCTACCCATCCAGCTTTGTATTGACACTGCTTTAAGCAAATTCATGCCGCAAACGCCAGAACCGATTTGGGTGGCTCCAAACCAAGCTGGCTTTTGGGACGATCACTTCCCTTGCAATCCCCGACACTGGGAAACATCCCAGCTAGGAAGTTAGAAATCGGAACAGGCAATCTGCAGAGAAGGTTTTGAAGACCCCTATGCTTGAAAAATCATGTCCATCGTTGCAGGAAGACCTTGGAGGGATTCCCGCAAGCCTCGCCTCAGGCGTTGACAATGGACTTCACCTTGGCGTAGAGGGCCTGGCAAAGGAATTTCAGATGAAACGTGTCCCATGGCCAAGGGAGGTTGGCGAATGAAAAGGCCACAAACTCTGACGGCAGAAACTCCACCTTGTAGCCTCTGGTTGATTCACCTACAAGTTTAGAGTGAAGTCTTGCCAGCTCGCAGTCAGAAAAACTCCCCCCAGTTCAAAAGCCCGGAAAAAAAGGAAAAAGAAGAACAGAACCCTGAGCGCGCCACTCTCACCTCCCCCCAAAAGAGAGAGTCACACCGTCACCCCCGCCGCCCCCGCGGGTTTTTTGAGCGCGTGGCGCGCGGCGCGCTGGCGCGCGCCTTCCCCTGGGCCGTCTTGCCGCCGATGGGGCAGAAGCCCTTGATGCCCAGCTCCTTGCGGGCCTGCTGGCAGGCCTTCGTCCAGGCGGAGATGTTCTCGTAGCCTCGAAGCGAAGCGAAGCGGACGAAAATTGGAGGAGCGGTCCAGGCGGAGCCGAAAAGCGGAGCTCGGCTTTGGGCTTTGGGAGGTTTGGAGCCACATCGGGTGGGTGAGAACTGGAGGGGGAGTCCCAAATTTCGACAGAGAAGACAGGGGATGAAACCCCCAAACCACCAACCTGATCCAAGACTTTCCACAAAAACCGCCCCGCAAAAAAGAAAGAAGGCATCTGAATCTTGGTGGCTGCTTTGGACCCTCTGCACAAAGTGCTTAACTTTTGTGGGTCCAATGGAAACTCCACTGCTTCCCAAAGTTAAAGTCCACAGAGCCGACCCAATAGCAATCAAGGAATGTGCGACTCTGCGCTGCTCAATTGTTGAGCTGCTCAACAAACAAATGTACTTCACAAAAAGCATCGGGCGGAGAAAACTAGTTAAATGTGTGAAAGGCTGTTTGGCGAAGCATGGGCCTGGGGCAATTTTGAAAGCGAAAAAGTAAACATGGGCGAAAAGTGGCAAGGAAATGCCCCCAGCTTGCACCCCTACCAGATGCAAGCCTTAATTTTGCCTCAGGCAAATAAGGTGGAGGCTTGCCGAATCCCCGTCAAAACACAAGTATAGTGAACCTCGCTTTGCACAAGTACGAGCGGCTTTTCTTGCCGGCGGCGCTGCTCTTCTTGCTCACGATCTTGCCACGCTTGTTCAGCTTCCTCAGGCCCGAGCACAAATTCAGCCGTACAGCACTTGGCCCTGGTCACCCTCGACCAAAGCATAGATCCGGAAAAGCGGCGATGGCGAGGCAGCCAAAAGCAGGATGCCCAGTGATACAGCCTAGCCGGGGCCTAGCCTACAGGGTGGTGCAAACCATGAAGCCCGAGTTTCAAGTCCCCCTTGGAGAGGCCGGTGTAGGTCTTCTCCTCGCACACATGAGTTTGCTGGCCCGGCGGGAGTCCAGTGGCCATCACATGAGAAACAAATGTAAGCCTGTCAAGTTGCGCAGCAATCAAGACCTTGCATGCCATTCAGGTAGCAAGGGGGATCTGCAGCGACCGGCGCCTTGGTCCCGTGGAAGACGGAGGCCCTCGCACGCTTGCCCTTTGCGATCTTGCTCACCTGAGCCCCTTCCCCCCGCGAGGAGTCTTAGCGAGCTGTGGCCAGCGGTAGAAACAAATATAACGAAATAAATATATATATATATATATGCATGTACACATCCATATTGAACTGGTGAGCTGAGCCCAATCCTACCCCAAACATGGGGCAACGACCTTGGCCTGCCAACCCGCTGCCCGCCTTCATGGCCTTCATGGCCTTCATGGCCTTCATTGTCTTCATGGCCTCGAAGGCTTGGGCTAAAGCGTGGAACTAGCATCCCTTTGGGGGAAAAGACGCATAAGCATCATTCCTTCTGCGTGTTCCTTTGGGAGTTCTGTGGAGTACGGGCCGTGGTTTCCCAAGTGGAGGAGTGAGGAGTGAGGAGTGTGGTTTGGCCTTTTGGCTTGCGCCCGGCGTCGGGCTCGGGTGCTTCTAGGAGAAATAGGCCTGGTTCTTTTCTCGCCTTGCGTCGCATTGCGACTGATGTTCAAAGCTTGTGCTTTTGCAATGTTCTTGTGCAACAAAGTCTCCTGCCTGTTGGGGAAGGTGACAAGCAGCAACGCATGGGAATGACAAATCAAACCCGCGGTCCTCTGGCTCATCAGTCAAAGATTCCAACTCTCACAGAGAAATTCGGATGGCATTGCGATGAGTCCGCCGAACGTGGGCAAGGAAAACAGAAAGGGGCTCATGTCGCACGAGTCGCCTTCATCGCTTTCATGGCCTTCATCGCCTTCATGGCTTTCATCGCCTGGCCGTGCGGTTGGATACTGCAAACATTTGCTGGTGCGATAGGTAGGGAATGACCGTCGGGGTGTTGGGAGTGCACCTAGGGATTCCCTTAAAGGAAACCATAGGGAATGGTTCATAGGGGTCATTCCAACTCATTCCCTGCTGAGAAACAGCAAGAAAAAGCAAGGGTAGATTAACCTCGCGGCTTGGAATCTTGCCCAGTGGAAGGACTGGAAGCTCGGGCCCTTTCTTCGGTGGTGTGTCGGGCCAACCTTCTTGCCCCCCCTCCCCGCAACAGAACGAAGGAGTACAAAACCCTGTCAAACGGAAGGTATATGAAAGCGCTTCTCTGAACGCGGAACTAACAATACCAAGACCGGGCCAGAAGCATGCTTTGTGTCTTTGGGACTGTCTACAGCGCTGCGAGAGGCGCAGCAAACGCAACGCCTGCCTTCATCGCCTTCATCGCCTTCATCGCCTTCATGGCCTTCATCGCCTTCATGGTGCGCATCGGGAGGGCCATGGCGCCGAGATATGTCAAGCACAACGCACGGAGATCGTTCAAAAGGCTTGAGCCACGGCCAAGGGATCAGTCGCGTGCACGACACCCAAGTAGGCTGCACACAGGAATGACACAAAGCGGTGGATTTTTTAAAACACCATCCTCAATGGGATCCATGATAGCACACCCCCGAAACATTGAATATGATGATCATGATGATCTCACCTGAGCTGTCCTCAGATCCCCTGCTAAAAGTGTAACTCTTAGTCCTGGACCTTCGTTCTCCTCAAAAAATACCGTAGTTTCCGCCTTTCGGGAAATCGTAGCACTTTTTGCCCAAAAACCTGAAACTCCTAGCAGGGGTAAACAGCTTGATGCAGCCCGCAAGCTTGTCGAAACATGCAATCGCAAAGTTGCGCAGCGCAGAAAAATCGTACCATTTTGACCGCAAAACGCCCGCAAATTTCCGCATATCTCCCGCAAAAATCCGCAAACTCCCGCAAATCAGAAAAAAGTTGTAGTTTTGAATGATCAAGGCATCCCATGGTGTTCACTGGCACGTTGGCAAGTGCTGCGAGGTGTATTTACTTTGTATGGCCAATGCGCGACTGGAAACGACGCAAATCGTATGTGTTGTTGTAGCTAATCCGCTGGAATTCGGTAAATCGTAGGGGTCTCCTAAAACACCCAGAAATTTCCCGGAGTTTGAAGGTCCAGGGTGGGTTAATTGGAACCCCCCTCTCAACCAACTTAAAAGCTAAAGCGCTCAGGGACCACCAAATCTCCCCTGCTCGCTTACAGAACTCCGCCTCGAAGGTCTCGATGGACCAGTCTTCATCTGAGCGCGTGCGTTGCCGTCGGCCGTGCCGTCCGACGGAGCGCCCAAGAGCAGCACTTTGAACTCCCGGATGGGACAAAGAAACAGTCGGGGCACTTTTCAGGCTCCTTGATTTTGAAGCAACCCATCCCTCACAACCATGGCAGCAAAATACTTTGTTTTTGCAGTCCCCTTACCACAAATGAACAGAAGCAAAAAACAAAAACAACAACTTGACAAGAACAGTGCAGCAACACATCGGTTCTTTTCAACGGATGTTGCCCATTTTTCCGAAAACGCTCAGCTTGGCGCCTGTGACCCCATCCAGGAACTCCTCCCGCCAGAGGTACATCGTCACCTCCACGTCTTGCTGCAGCTCGTCCTGCGCAATGGACCCCCTCTTGGCTAATATGAGAGCGGGACGCCCGGCGGGCCCTGATCTGTGGTTTTAGTTATGTTTGCACAAATTATGTGTTGCTTTAAGCGCCGCCCTCGCCTTGTTGCAGCACACACAACATACGCAGTTCATTGTTATGACAACACCATGCAAACTGCAAAAGCACAGTTGGCATCAGGACGAAGCTATCTTTTCTCGCAAGACCAGAGCAACACTACAGCAGTACCAATTTGGGAATCTGAGAGTTCCACCTAAAAACCTAACAGTGAAATCTAGATGCGGAAGGCATAAGGGTTGCTCCTGCTACAGATTTGCAATATGAGACCAGAGCACTCAGCACAGCCCAACACAAGATCCTCTACGCGCCAGCTCTCATCAAAAATGACATGCCAATCGAAACAACATATGGCACATGTGGCTGCTCTTGCTGACTATAGCACCGACACTGGAAAACAGGTTGTATGTCAACACCTGCAATGCTGAAACGCGTCCAATTTACGTGGGTTCAACTACATTTCCAAATTGCCCTGGAATCACATACATGTTCACGATAGGCTTCTGCTTCAACTACATCTCACATTCACATTAGCTTCCGCTTGAATGAAATATATTGCCAGCACATCAGAAATGCAGACTACCTGCAGGTGGGCAACATGAGCTTCTACATCATCAGGGATAGGTTTTGTAGGGGGTAAGAGAATAACTCATTCTACGTGGGCGCTCCATGGGTCATCAAAACAATTGCTGATAAGTAGATATCGTCTGGCCAGCCGCAAAAACCTCATCTTTGAAAAACAAGAAACGAGGAAACGTAGAAATGTTCTGCGCTACATGAAAACACTGCTCTTGACGGGCCAATTGATTTCACTGAAGCGAGGTATCCTTTTCCGGTACTAGCTAAACTCTCTATGCTAACCAGTAGCAACCCAGCAGCCTGATGACACTGCTACGCATGGGACTAACCTTCAACAAATGGAGTTGCACGCCAAAGCCACGGGCGCACGAATATTCCATCCTATTCTAGCCTATCAAATTACCAGAGAGAGTGTGATGCACAAGGCAAGCCATGAGAATACTTCACGCCCATGGGCCCGCAGCCAACATGCATAGAAGATGGTGTTTTTAGAACTGTAGCCCCAGTGCAACCAAGCCCCTTGTTGCCACATGTGCTCCTTCACTAAAGGTGTGGCAAGGCAGAAGTCAGTGTTGTTGCTAGTTGCAGATACTCATCTGGCTATCACTGCTTTTAGCAACCACTTCCAATCCTGCATCATCAATACCACAAGAGGCTTTCCACTATGGTGCTATTCATGCAAATGCCCAAGCAGCAAACACTAGCCAAGAGTGTGAGCTACTAGAATGTATAGCTCACTTAATAGATTCAGTGACCCACTATATAACTTCAAATCCGAGCAACTGAATTGCACGCAACTTCAAGGAAGCTGCGTAAGCAAACAGGACATCCTTGAGCTTTGCATAGTAGCGGGGACCGAAAAAAACTACAGGCGAGTCCAAAGCTCTGACCTATCTACTGGGTCCATCTGGATCCTGGGCCGAGTCTGGGGAGTCGGGTGGCCGAGTATGGATGGGGTCTTGGCAAGGATGGGGGGGAAATAATATATATATATATATATCTTTATTTATTTATGTTTATGTTTTTTAATTGCTTATTTATTTATTTAGTTATTTATTTATTTATTTATTTATATTAAAAATAGAAAAGAAAAAAACTTAAACATATGTTCCCCCTACCTCCAAGACCCCCAGACAGCATGACCTATCCAACCATTCCAAGTGTTAGTCTGCGTCTATGCGCAGAATGCCGATGAAAGGAGATCATTTGAAGAACGCATTCGTTCTTTCAACGAGCAAGACTGACATCTTACCATATTTTTCTGTTTTTGTCCTGCTGTGGAAAACAGGGCCCGTACAGCGTCCCTTCTGTAGGGGTCCCCCAAACGACCTCAAATCGACCCCCCAACCTTGTGTCTCGAGAAAGTCCTATTTAAGGATGAGCTTTGCAAAGCCCCAAGACACTTGTAGATGACCCCCCTTTTGGGAGTCCGACCCGATTTTTTTGGGGGGGGCTCCATGTTAAAGTGAGCTTATCCGCCGCAGAAAAATCGCGAGCTTCTCTCATCCGGCTCCAGCTTCCATGGAGATCCTTGCCTCGATGAGCCGCACGGAGCCCCGGGACATGGCGAAGGTGTCCTGGACGGCGAAGCTGGGGTGAGCCAACGGGAAGCCAAGGGCGCCTTGTGTGGGGGGGAAGGGTCAAACCATGGCGAACTCATGTTGCAACGGATCTTTTAGTGCAACTGATTTCCAATCGACGAACCGCGAAGCAACGGTAAATCACGGGGGTTCTTGATTCCCTGCTTGCCATCTGTTGGGAATCCACCAACTGACAAGAAGTGTGGCCCAACGTGGAAAACATTGAAGAGAACCACCACAGGTGGTGAAACGGAGGGCGCTAAATAGATGAACTCGCAGATGGTGGCCCTGAAAATGCTTTGAACCAGAGAATGACTAAGAAGACAGCACACCCTCGAAGATGCAAGGAAAACAAAAGTGATCATTGACTTTCGGATTTGCTGGTATCGCCATTCCCCTACCTTCAGCAGGATGGTCTAGGGCGGTGGGGCGTCCCCGAATTCCATGTTTCCAGCCTTTAATCTAAGCGGAATTCCACGGCTCACCCTGCCCCAATTCCATTATGGCCCAAAAAGGATGATCCAACGCGGATTCAACACGCCCATGCCTGAAAAAGAGGAGTATGTCCTTCAGACAAAGATCCCATCTCTCGCTTTGCTTCGTGCCTCTCAGTTGTAAGGCTTTCGGAAGGTTTGGGCAGGCTCGTCTCTCCTCCATGACCACATCCACCAGCTTTCTCTCCCACGGCAGCAAGCCATACACCACCTGGCACAGATTGGAAGCGAGGTCCCGATTCGAGGGCCTAAGATGGAGAAACAGCCAAGGGGAATGAAAGAATGCTCAGGCAGCAAGGGCAAGCGTCTTACGCGGGGTCTGCAAAGCTAATCTCCAACCTTTGAACAACAAGCCCTCCCAACTCGTACCCTCCCCCCCCCGGTAACCTCCCCCCACTACTCCCCTACTCCCCTTCTCCCACCCCGCCACTCCTCCCATCCCATCCCGCCTGGCCCACCGCCAGGCCCTCGTCCACTACAAGCGCCGCCTCCGGGGAGCAGATCAGCCCCCGCCGCACGAAGCCCCAGATCTTCGCCGGCGCCTGACGCGACGACCCGACGGCCCGGCGGCCCGGCGCCTGACGCGTCGGTGCGCTGCCCGGTCTCATGGGACCGGATCCACTCGGGTCGGTTTGGAGACGTTTTGAAGTCGGATTTGGTTTGGAACCGAATCGGCGGCTTGGGTTGAGTGGGAAGCACCATTTCGCCTCAAGAAGGGGTTCAAGTCCAAATCCAAACCAACCCAAACCAACCAGGTAGGAGATACCTGACCAAAGGCATTCCTCTGAGATTGAAACACGGGCAAAGCCAGGTTTAGACGAGTCTCTCACTCGCACCAAAAAGTCTGGGCCGCGGGCCATTTCCGGCACCCGGCCGATGAGCTCGCCCCACACCGCGGGTAGCAACAGGGGCCCGTAGACGAAGACAGGACCCCAGTCGGCCTGGAGAGCAAACATTCTGACTGGTCAGCACCCAAATTCTTCCACAACGCGAAAAAATATGTGTGATGTAAAAAGACGCACTAACATGCGTCTTTGCGCATAAGCACAAGCGCGGCATAGCACCATTGTGGTGATAAGGTAGATTGAACTGAATTACCAAAGACATGCGTGTTGCCGCTAAGCAATATGCTCACTACTTGTAAGCGCCTGGTTTGCTACTGGGCTACGCTTTGATCTTGAGCTTCCACAACCATTTGCAGCAACCCCGCAGCGAAACGCGGTGGCCCATCTCAACACCCGCCAGTCAGACCAAGGTTTTTGGGTTCTCCCGATAACCCAAAAGCAAATGAGTTGCGTCATCAAAACCGATCGGTAAAACGGTCTACCCAGAACCATGCTTCAAGAATTGAATCGAAAAGGCGGATTTCCGCACCCGTCTTTATGGCAAGGAGATTGCCCCTTACCCTCCAATTCCCCGGGCTTTGAGTATGGCTCAAATGATTTCCATCGCTGGCTCAAGGAAAGGCGCTGGCTGCACCTCCAGGCTAACTCATGCTGTGCCTCCCTTGCGCGAAAACATACAACCACAAGGCACCGCTGACCTACCGACCCACCGAAGCCCGACACAGCTGTCCAAGAACTAGCAAACAACAAATCCAAAAATGTGCAATCAAGTCATATCCCTAACATGCATCCCCAGAACTTGCAACCGCCCAAGCATCCCTGAACCCTCCTCCCTATAAACTGGTTGATGAATACAAGGTCAGCATTATGGTGGCCTTACTTGGCCCTTCCGTTCGCAGAATTTCCTTCAACTCTTGCCTGGGCTCATGCCATGTCCCCTTCCCTGCTTATCTCTCGCATCGCCTTGATGCTCTTCATCGCCTCCTCCGCTGCCTCCGCGATGCGGGGGCCCAGCCATGGGTCCTCCAACTCGGCGCCCCAGACCTCGCGACGCGCGCGGCGCGGAAGCGGCCACTGGCCGCAGTGCCATAGGCCACAGGCCGTAGACCGGTTTGCCCACAGGAACGAATCGTGCGTGTGCGTGGTTCAAACAAGATCGGCAATATCAGTGGGCAGCCAAGTCCTGGGTAGTTTCGTCTCACATTGAAAGGTAGCCAATAACAAACCACTTTTCCAACAGCATCTCAAAAACCGGATCCTTGAGATTGAAGGAGATCGTGTTTCTCCGAGCAGAACCAGCCAAAAATTTGCTGCCGAGCCACCAGCGGCTTTCCAGTGACCTCCTCTACGTGCCCAACCAGTGCCTTTCCCACCACGCCGGCATCCGCCTGTGCGATCATCGCAATCTGACGCTTTGAGGGGCAGGGCCCAGAACCCATGGACCCAGGGAGTCATTTGCCATCCCCTTCTGGCAACTTGCGCGGGAATGGCCTCGTTGACACCTGCATGGCTGGCAAGGCGTGAGGCCGCCAACAAGAGAGGGTCCATGGCTCCATACGCCGCGCGCGCGCGCTGCGCGCAGATGGAAATGCACCGGGTAGCAAGGTTTAGCCAAGCTTGGCCAGGTTTGCCAAGGTTTGGAAAGGCTTGGCAGGTCCAAACCTGAAGAGTAGAGTAAAGAGCATAGCAAGTGCCACACTTGAAGCTGGAAAGAGAGGCTGATAAGGGGGCCATGACTGAGTGGCTTTGGACATTGAAACCTCTCGCGCACTGCACGACCTTGGAGCAGTTGAGCCGGTGGCACCGGCTTTTCATGCAACATAGTCATGCCCTATATGCATGTACATATTTATGGGTATGTGTCGAACACAATTGGGGGGGCAAAGTGGTGGTCGTCCTTGGGGTACATTGGGGTACCCTCAAGAAACTAAACATGCATTTATATATATATATATGTATGCATACATGGAATATGTATATATATATATATACTATATAGATATGTATACATATGCAAAATTCCAGGAATACGTGGCTTCAAAGTGGGGCATCAACACATGCCACCACGCTCCAAATCCTCCATTCTGCCGGCGCGCTCCTTTTGACAGCCCGGCATCAGCCCCAAATGCCGAGCGCTCTGGCATGCAGACCACGGGCCATGGCCAACGAAGCAAGCCCTGCAGGCCTTTTTCACTTGGGACATCTCACGGGATACTGTCAAAACTGCGTCACTACGTGAACCGAGATATTCTGTCACCCCTCCCTGGAACGCAATACCCTACCTCGGGAGCAGTCATATGCCCTATTGAGACTCTTGAGGGGCATCATAATCTCTTGAGGCTTCTGTGGCTCCATCAACGGTAACCAGCCATGTGATTGATGGTAGCCTATTCGCCATGGTCTAATCCGTGGTCTGCAGGCATGGCGAATTCACTGCGGTTCGATTTCTATGCATCGCATCCCGGTTGCCCTGCTCCGACTCCGGATGGGCTTGGCTTAACTCTCGAGCTCCCGAAAAAGGTAGCCTGGCATTTTTCTCGGCCGCCGAATGTACGCCCTGAAATCTCTGCCAGGTGATTCCTACAAAGACCATCTGGGAGCACCTTTTGCTCCATGCTGAACTGCTCTCCAAGTGCTAGAGAAGGCCGACCAACGACTGTTTTTCTATTGCCACACCCCCGCACCCCAATCCGTTGGTTTAGTGACGCATCTTGCATAGGCTAGTGTGATGAGCAGCCCCCTGCAAGGCTGTGTGAAACAATATTTGGCCCTCAACCAGAGTTGGTCCCCAGTTCGCTGAAGAAACCACGCGGTTTCCCCGTGGCGTTCGGGCATTGGAAGCATGCGATCGCCTCAGCTCACATGCGGCGTGCAACTTCTGCGCCTCACCTGGCGCGAAAGCTTCTCGTCAGGTGCCGATGACTGAACATACACTAAGCCCTACTGATTGGCCGGTACTCAGGGACTGACAAAGGGTGTTGGGAATGAACCGTTTGGGGATTTTTTGAAAGGAAACCACCAGTTGGATGGATTTACTTGGGATTCCCCGCATATCGAAGCAGCAAAACTCACAAGGACCCCGAAGAGAAGGTCCCTTCACCGCAAGCTGTGTTGCCTGGAGGGTGGCAAGTGAGTTCAATGCGTTGTTCGGTCCGTGGCGGAAAAAAATATATCCGATCGCTGCGGTCGAGGTGCGTTCAAGTCTGCCATGCAGTGAAGCATGCATGGCAAAGGCGCCCCACTGACGTTTTTCAGCGATCCACGCAATGAAGTGTCATGGATGCCAGAGACAAAGAGAAGGAGAGAAAGAAAAAAGACGGACATAAAGACAGACAGACACAGAGATAGAAAAGAGAGAGATAGAAAGAAGAGAGAGAGAGAGAGAGAGAGAGAGAGAGAGAGAGAGAGAGAGAGAGAGAGAGAGAGAGAGAGAGAGAGAGAGAGAGAGAGAGAGAGAGAGAGAGAGAGAGAGACAGAGAGAGAGAGAGAGAGAGAGAGAGAGAGGGACACAGAGACAGAGACTGAGACAGAGGCAGAGTTTCTGTTTCTCCTGCACATCCACCCAGAACTTGCGCTTCAGTGGCTGGATATGCGTACTGGCTCTGTTCCCACGTGGAAAGCAGCCTTGGGCCTTTCCATGGATGTCAAACAACTGATTGCTCAACTACATTCGGCCGAAAGACAAATGCTACACCAAAGGCCTTGAAAAACAGCGGTTCATCATCCCTGCGCACCTCATGCTGAGAATCCTGCAACCGTAGTCGAATCCCTGTGGTCACTGTCTCCTGGTTGTCCGATCTCCCTCCCGCCTTGTCACCCAAGGCAAGCTGCCTGCGACATGCCCAGAACAAAGGCAACACACTGGGCCAGGGCCGGGGGAACACCTGACTGGACAGGGAGCGCCACCCTCCCACCCTCCGCTCCACTCACAACTTCACAACTCACACTCTACCTTTCCGCCCACCCCTCATACAACGAATCTGCGGATGCCCGAAATTACGTCATGTCACTGCGAAATGTGCGCGTCATGGACTCTAGAGAAACTGAGAACCTCGAATCGCTCGCCGTCAAAACCACAACAAATGACTCAAGCAAGACGGGGGTGCCAAATTTGATTAATCAGAGGGATGCAACAGTGCACAAAGAGCCCAGAATCACTAGGGCAAGCGGGTGCTCCAGCATCTGACCCCTTGTAGGAGACACGATCAGCTTCATGTCCCTCTAGACATGTGGTCCCTTTAAAGAACCCATCACCTCAAGGGATCCATCTGGCTCCGCTTTTGACCGGCTTGCCTCTGCGAAGCGATGGCTTGAAGCAGGTCACCGGCCTAAGTGGCAGGACTTTGCGCCAAATTTGGACCAGGGTTGCCTGGCATGGGAGGAATGCTTGCAGATCTTGCGGATCTCTGGAATGCCTGTCATGGTCACATTCTGGGAATGTGTGCAATGACTTGGAACCCTCTCGGTGTTGGTGGTCGGAGGACTTTTCGGCGGTGACACCCTGAAAGCAGCATGCAAACCACCCGACAGTCGGCCTTGAAGCACTTGAAGCACTTGAAACAGGCAGGGTCACAACCCTTCGGCAAGGGATCTGAGAAGGGAGCCAAAAGCTTTAGGGAGTTCTCGCTGCGCGTTCCATGCACACCTAAAGGAGCCAGAAAAAACCTAGAATGCCATTCCTGGGCTGTCCTCAGATCCCCTGCTAAAAGCTTCAGTTTTGGTGGATTAAGATATGGAAACTCAAGCTCAAAACCAACTGAGCCAAGGAGACGGATGGCTGGGAACCACCAAGACTTGCTCAAGCAAGCCGTGGCCTGCGGCTCTGGGCGAGCGGCTCGCAGCAGGCCCAGCTGAAGCCGGTGAAGCAAGTCGGGCACCTCGCAGCAGTGCGGCTTCTGCACTTGGGCTAAACAAGTAAACCAAACAGTGTGAAATGTCGGTCCTCTGCAGGTCTCTGCGCGAGTCCCACATTCAGCTGGCAAGCCGGACCCCAAAGACGCACAGAAACAAGACTAAAGGTGCGGTTGCTGCCAAAGCCAACACAGAATCATCACCTTTCAGCCCTTCCACGTCTTTTCGCAAGAAGGAGCTATATAAGGGCTTGCCCGCCGAAATATGGACACGGGTCAAAATTGGCACCCAAAATGGAACTCGGGCAAATGGAAACAAGCACGATTTACCCTGCGGTCCGATTCCTGCCTTCATTTTGACCCCATCTCAGAAACCCTCCTAGTCGTAAGCCTTTCCAAAGAACAGCAAGAAACCCCAGTCCGGCCATGCATGAGGGAGGGGCCACTGTGTTTTTGAGGGGGGGGTTAGTCACTTTCTGGGGGTTTTCAGGAAGGCATACCACCTTTGAGGGAGGGGCCACTTTGTTTCTCATTCTCGGCCTCCTTCAGGGCGAGCACCGAGCCCTTGGACTCGGCCAAGCTGGTGTCCACTTGGCGGATCCACAGGTGGCACAGCGCCTCCTGCGCTCGAAAAGCGTCGACTCGGAGTCGTCGAGCCAGCCTGGGCCTGGGGTGTCTCAGGGCTATGAGATGCGTGGGTCAAAACTAGGAATCGGAGCGCAGGCCAAATCGTCCATGTTTCCATTTGCCAGGGTTCCGTGTTGGGCACCCACTGCCATCTGGGGTCAAGAGGTGTGGGCAAATGGCTGCCTGAAAACCGTGCTACGTGCCTCGGGACAGATTTTCGATCACAGCCAACAACCGCTTGTAGCCACCCCCAAAACGTCACGATGCCGGTGGCAACATGGCTCGAAGTTTGCAGATTGGGCGAAAAGAAAAGCGCCTCGCGGGCTAAAAGCAGCAGCTCAGCAGGCCGACTTCTGGCACTTGGACAAAAAACGGACTTCCCTGGCCTCAAAGCGCCGGCGCCATGACTCAGGTGCCTGGTGGCAAGCACATTTCCAGAGAAATGAGCACAAACCCTGGCCTCCTCCGCATTGTCCATCATCCCTGGCTGGGTGTCATGGCCCAAGTCTAAGCACTTGAATCGAATCTCCTTGCCGGTTGAGGAGTATGGTCCGAATGCCCCTAGGCGGTGCGGAATACATTCTCTGTGGCTTTGATGAAGCCGGACAAGCGGCATAAGCTACCAGGTGGTGGATGCAGGGCTGGTTGAATATCTTCAGTGGACGATTTTTCTAGTCAACATTACGCCTTCCCACGGCGTGCCCACGGTGTGCCCACGGCGTGCCCACGGCGTGCCGAGTGGTCGCATGTTCTTGGCTTTGACTTCTCCACGTGCATCCTATTGGCCACATACAAATTGGGATGGATCGACAGTATATGATTCTTATGCCTTGTGAACCCGCCGCTGAGCATCGAACATCTCATCAAGGCTTCTGTGTGTCCAAACGGGGAACCCCGGCAGTGATAGGCCCAAGTCTCATGCTGTGCTTTCAAAACGATCGGAAAAAAGAGCCCGAGTTTCGGTTTTGCTAACCACCACGTCCCACGAGAACATCCGCGAACCCAAGCCTGGCGCGCACGCCTCGAAGCGTAGCCAGCAGAGCGACTCCGGGCCCAGCTGCCCGCCTTCGCTCGAGCTCTACCCCAAGGCTTACGTTCCCCTATGCCGAGAAAGGGCTTGCTCCAGAAAAAGAAAACATGGGTCGGGATCTCATGCAATGGTGGTTTTCTTGCTTCATTTAGGGAGAACATAAATGAGACCCGATGTTGGTTGGTTGTACAGTTAGCAGTGCTCCTGAAACTCAACGCCCGAACGAATCTCCTATTGGCCCCTTCGGATGCCCTGCAAATGCAACTTGCTTTAGGAAGCCTTGCCTTTGGAACAAGTGGAAAATAATATCGGGTACCCCCCCAAATAAGGCGTAGACCCGTGAAACGGATAATTCCCCGTTCAACGAATCAACTAAGCATGCCGAAAGGGATGCTTCAACATCAGTACCGTCGGCCAAAACTCCGATCGCAAGATGCAGGTGGCTGCGTGAGTGTGTGAAAACTAGGTCACCTGAAATCTGGCAACCAGAATGAAACCTTCCATTTTGTAGGATCCTCTGGTGTTGACACGCATCCAGGATTTCTCTGGTGGTGGGAAGCGGATGTCCCACCTGGACAGCGCTGGATGCGCAGGCGGTGCCTGACCCGACGCGTTGCACATCTTCAGGGGTTGGAGGCAAGCACAAAACGGGGGGTCCTTCGCCGTGTTTTGGAGCATTCCCCCAACTTCAATCACTCGGCTCCTTTTGCTGCCCAACCCATCTCAGTCAGCGATAATACGCGATAATAGCATTGTTGTTTGAGGCAACCACCACCAAAATTGATGGTCCGATTATGCAAAACAAGCGCCGCGCTTTCGGTGAAACGATTTCGCACCACACATGTCCCTCACCTGCCGCGGAAGACGAGCAGGCCCACGCAGGTGCCGGTGACTTCTGACAGGCGCGGGTGCTGGGGGGGAGCTGCAGTGCACGGAAGGGCCAAGGGGCTACCCATCAGCCAGAGACTTCCAAAGATTTGTTCACAAATAAGATGAATAAATTATGTTTGCTCAATGAAGTATGGTTCAACATCTTTGGCCCAAAGTGACCTGGATTGAGGTGCCTGCCCCATAGGCGAATTCTGCTCGAGACCAAGTCCCCAAACAAAACCGCTGGAGCGTGTAACTGACGAATCTGTGCTTGTGCAAATCTTGTGCAATACTCCGTACTGTCTACTGCACTGTCCATTTTCAGATCCCCTGCGAAAAGTTTAACTTCTAGTGGGCTAAATTCGGAGTCCCCCAACCACTAAACCACCAAACCAACAAGGCTACAAAGCTAAGGGACCAGATGGCCTTCGGGAGCCACCAAGTTTACAATGATCCTTTGGTGCAATGGGCAAGCAACCACAGAATTATATACAATATATACACAAGTGAGTTTTTCAAGAGTGGGCCTCAAGCAAAGCAGCACGTGGCAAATCGCCATTATGTGTCAACAGAACTTGCGAGTGGGCAGGGACTGTAAGCTGAAACAACATGGGCAGACCAAGAATATCTTTGAACGACATGTGAGAAGAGGTCAAATCCCAACCGTCCTCCCTCTTCGCTTTTGCAGGCCAAAATGAACGAAAAGCTACCCCGATTGCTGAGCTGCGCAGGCAAAATGATCCGCTGAACCAAGTATGGAGACACCAAATACGTCTTCCCAGCTGAATCGATTAATATTCGGATTGCAAAGAATTGCATAGGATGGATGCTTACAGGGTGTTCATTGTGCTCTACTTGCAGCAGTTAAGGCATCCGTACAGTTCGGATGTTGAATGAGACAGCCAAGTTCTCAGCCATGCGGATGCTTTTTGGGCGCCGTGGCTGGAGCTTGGCCCGATTTTGTTGGACCCGCGTTCTATAGAAATGGGGCTCCTATTACAGAAAGCGGCAGTTCAGGATCATGGGGTCCTCTGAAAGGTTGTCCCACCCCCCAACCCCTCCCCCCAAACAAAAAAGAAGAAACTAATGCGAAATGAATCGCAAGAGACAATCAATTAGACTTGGCAGTACCAATTAAGCACTGAGACACTGGGAATCTGAGATTAAGTATTGGCAATACTGACTTTAGAATTGGCAATACTGAATTAAGTCTTTCTCGGCTCAATATACCTGAAAGCCCACAGCACTCCCAACACACCCATTCCAACTTCTGATCCGAAACCAAGTACAACGTCAGAGAGAAAGTAAATGTCATCATAGGCATTTCTCGTATTTGACATGGGGACCCTAATTTGAATTGGTCAGCACATGAGCGAACATCTTCAGCGCGGGTTTGTCGGGTAAGATCGGGCAAGACACAAAAGTCGGCTGGCAATCAAACTGGCACATGAATCAAATCAGGTCAGGTCTCTTTTCCGCTGCAAGGTGTAGGCAGCTTTGGTCCGGTTCTATGGCTCAGTTCGCGCGACATCAATGTCTGCCAATGTCTGATTGTTTGGCATGTCCAACTCTAACTTGTGGGGATTTTCGCACGTCTCCAACGTAGGTGCAAATGCATCGAACGTGACCTCAACAATGTTCGGAATCTGCAGCCCGTCTTTCTCGTACATCTTGCAGCAGTTGTTGCCATGGACATGGATCACCTGAAAGCCTGCCCGTCGCAGATGACGCATCACTTTCAGGTATTTTGCATGTCTCTTCTCGTTACGCAAAAAATGAAACTCGATCACCAGCTGTCTGAATTTCTTCAGTGTCTGGAGGTCGCTGTATAGAAGTGTTGGCCATTCACTGCCTTCAATGTCCATTTTCATCAACAAGCTTCTATCAGGCACATCCAGCATCTTTGAATGCTGAACTGCTTCATCCAAGGTCCACATTGTTTTGCCTGGAAATGCCTGAGAGTTGTGGGTTCCCAAGCAAGCTTCAAAGAAGTGACATTGCTCACAAGATTGTGCTGGTTTGGACACTGTGCAGTCATATTGATACAGCGGGATCTGGAAGGTCTTGAAGATGTCCAGTGACCACTGGTCATGTTCCTCAATACCTATCGAGTAGGCTGCAAGCAAGCTTCCATTCTTCATGTTGTCAACGCATGAGAGGTAGCCACCATCATATGCCTCCCCGAATCGCTGCCACTTTCCACAAGCGCCACAAATAGAAAAGCTTTGGAACAAATCCTTCGTGTCGCCGGCAGGTAAGGTGCTTGCGAGCTGCTGCATGACTTTTGAAAGCTCGGTGTTGGTGACCTTCTCGCGCACTGACTGCGATTGCAGCAAGCTTCTGCCAGTTGAATCAGCTGAACAATCGCTTGCAAGGCACAGATTTGGCGATTCCGCTGCAAAGGAAACCTGAACTAACAGGGACAGCAGCTGTCCATATGTAGCAGACTTCATGCTACACATAGTGCAAATATGTAGCTGCAGGTATGCCGATTCAGGATTGACCTGAAGCCGGTAAACAGGTGTTTAAGATTAGATCGCTGTGAGCCAGAAATGCAATCGTGGTCAATGTCCGCAGGTTCGTGAACACAGTGTCTTGATCATGACGGGAACAATTTGCTGAAATCTATTTTACAAATTAGAGCCAAACTTGTCCAGGGCTAAAACCAGGATCTCGGTTCTTTGGGGAAAAAAGTCAATGGGGTTTAAGTCTACCTGGTCAAACAGGTGGATCCCAGGGTCCAACAAATCGGCATCGCTCGCTCAGCACGGATCCGCGGATTCCGATCGCCTTCTGCACGGCAGATGCGGGCCTTGCGGCCCCGCAGCAGCAGGGCCTTGCGGCGCTGGCAGCTTCTCAGCCTGGCGTTTCAGCGAAAGGGCCGTCGGGCCGTCGGGTCCAGTCATTCCGGTTTTTCATAAGCAAACACAAGAAACTAAGAGTGAAAAACACAACCCTGGCATTCAGTGCAACCCATGGTCAAGGGTAAATTCAGCTTTATAATTCGTTTGGGTTGGTGGTTCAGTGCTTGGAGGCCGGCCTCCCGTTTGCGGTTCAAATCCCCAAACCACTAAACCACCAACCAAAGGGAACCTGAGGAGGATTATTGATGAGGTGATTCTTTGGTGCGCTCGAAGAAAGATTTGAGAGCGTAAACACAACGCAATCCTTATTGGGTGGGCGCGCAATGACCAGCCCAGGGCCCAGAGGGCCTGTCAAGACAAACTTACCAATCAGCATTTCTCACAAGTTGCAGATCAGAGCTCATAGAAATCCGCCGACATTGTGGAGGCCTGTCGGAAACTTAAGAGAGGATAGAGGATAAACCCCTCCCCTAACCCCCCGCGCCGACGCCAAATATGTAAGTTAGGGTTTTTTTTGGGGGGGGGGGGGTCAAGCACGTACGCGGTAATTTGATGACGTTCCACTGAACGTAGTCTTCGGGGAGCCGGTGTCACAAAACAGGGGTTCCAGGCTCGAATCCCCCTGCCGGCTCTTTGCTGGTTCGGGTTTTCTGCTTCCTTTTGCCGAAAATCTGGAAAAATTATGTGTCTTTGACAGCATGTTTGCGAACATGTTGGCAAAACCGTGTTGTTTGCGGGAAATATTGGGGAGCAAAGGGGAAATGCAAGGAAGTGCAAGGAAATGAGGGGAGGAAATAGGAAGTCGACATGACAGGAAAGCAAGGGAAAATGAAAGGGAAACAAAGGGGAACTGAAAGGGACATGAAAGGGACAGAAATGAAAACAAGACATTACCAGGACATCATGGGAAACGTGAAAAGGACATGATGGGGAAATCAAGGGGAAAGCCAGTGGTAAGCAGACAGTTCAGGGTCATGAAGGGGCAGTGCCCGGACATCGAGGCAACTCAGAGGGGACGTGACGCTGCAATGCAAAGAGAGAGAGAGAGAGAGAGAAAGAGAGAGAGAGGCGTGGGGGGATGGGGAGGATGAGGAGCAAAGGGAGGGAGAGAGGACGATAGAACACACGGGGGAGGAGACAAGAGAAAGGGGAAGAAGGAGAAAAGGGAGAGGACAATGTCGGCGGACTGAGCCGGAGGCTCTAAAGTATGGGTATTAATTGAAAAAAGTGATTCATGTCCACCAATCACTTTTGAGGTGGTTCCCTCTTTAAATTCGTGGCCAGCTTCAACTCAGGTCTGTCCAGCCCTCCATGCCAACGAACCGATCCGAACAGCGCCTTCGACGGGCCGGCGGCCGCGCCTGGCCAGCGCCGCCTCGGTGTCCTCCAGCAGCCGCCGCGCCTCCGCGCTGCGGCGCCTGCGCTGCAGCTGCCGCTCCGCCGCGGCCTCCGCGGACGAAAAAGCAAACACCTCGTAGGGGGGGGTCGATAGGCAGGGAACGAAAAGTGGAATGGGTGATGTTTCTTTTCTTTCTTTTTTTTTGAAACTATGGCTGGTTTTTTTCTAGGGCTGGTTTTCCGCATGGCTGGCAACATCCCTAGCATCCAAGTGGAATGACCCCGACAAAAACTCCCCGAGTTGGTTTCCTTCATTCCCAACACCCTGTCTACTGAGCACATGCAAGACACGTCCCCCACCCCCACCCGTGCCTTGCCTTTCCGGAAGTGGGTGTGGTTGTCAAAAATAGTTGGGAACCCAAAATGGGTTGGGAACCTGGAAAATGGCAACAAGGACTAAAGTCTGCGGTCCGATTTCCTGGTGTTTCACTTGTCTAATTCGCGAAGCAAGATTATTTCTTTGCTCAACATGGCGCTGAAAATCGAGTCCAAACTAATAAGAAGGCTTCACTCCAAGCCGCTCGGCGGATCTTGGCCAGTTCTTACCTCGGCTTTGGAAAGCGGCCTCCTTGAGCGCACGGATCTCGCAGAGCACCGAGCCGGCCTGAGCGTGTCACACTAGTCTTTGCCGTTGCCTCCGAAGCCCAAGATCACGCCCATCCAGTTGACTCGCATGCGTTTTGGCTTCGAGCTCTGAAAAACGGCTTGAGTTGGTGGCTGGTTGGCCGGCCGGTCGGTGGGTGCACTCCCACCAGTAAAAAGTTGACCCTAACTCTTTCTCAAAGGAATGGGCTCAGTTCCAGGATCATGCATGTCTTGGCCAGGAAGGCATCCATGCCGTATGAGCTTTCGGGTGTCCGAAAAGAAACCTTGTTGATCCGTTTCTGGTGGTCCTTTTGGGCCATGGCAGGGGAGTACATGGAGCCACGGGCCAGTCATAGTCACCTTTCTATGGGGCACGAACAAAGCAATCCAACAAATTCATGTAACAGCGAAAACATGATCCAGGCAATCAAACAAACAGACAAACAAACAGACAGACGAACACACAATCAATAATTCCCATAAAGAAACACAGAAATTCAAAATTAAAATGAACAAATCAGGACTAACAAAACAAGACACAAACACGCAAGCAAACAAGCAAGCAAGCAAGCAAGCAAACAAACAAACAAACAAACAAACAAACAAACAAGCAAGCAAGCAAGCAAGCCAAACAAACAAACAAACAAACAAACAAACAAACAAACAAACAAACAAACAAACAAACAAACAAAACAAACACACAAACAAACAAACAAACAAACAAACAAACAAACAAACAAACAAACAAACAAACAAACAAAACAAAACAAACACACAAACACACAAACACACAAACACACAAACACACAAACAAACAAACAAACAAGCAAACAAACAAACAAACAAACAAACAAACAAACAAACAAACAAGCAAGCAAACAAGCAAACAAGCAAACAAAACAAACACGCAAAACAAACAATCAAAAAAAAACACAAACAGGCAGACAAGCAAGCAAGCAAACAAACAAACAAACAAACCAAACCAGACCAAACCAGACCAAAACCAAGGCCAAAGCCAAACCAAACCAAACAATCAAAACAAACCAAACCAACCAAACAAACAAACACACACCAACTGACATGCAAACAACGAAACCACTAGAAATATCGCCGCACGCCAAGCCTGCTCTGATGAGGCCACCTCCTCCTCAAGGGCCTGTCTCAAGTGAGGCTTTTGGCTCACAGAGGCGGCCACAGACTCAGCGACTCAGCCAGGCCCAAGTGGCGGTGTGGGTTTTTTTGGGCTCAGCTTCGACACGCGGCCATGGGTCAAAATCCAAATCGTACCCCCAGTGAACATCCCAATCCCCACTAAAATAGACTAAACGCGTGGTGCACCTACCCTAAAATGGTATGATTGGCTTTGACCCACAGCCACATCGCATGTTCCTCTATGGAGGGCCATTCAGATCAGGTTGCTTCCGGCCTGCAGCATGGCTTGTTTGGATGTCCTGGCAAGTCGCGGAGGGCGTGGCACTTGCCAAAAGCGGAGCGCATGAGCCACGCAGACTCTGAAGCCAACTTCACAAAGCCGCATCCCACCAATGACCGGTCTGCAAGGAAGTGACAAGTAACAGGCCATGGCTCCTATGTTCTCAGGCTGCCCTGCGAACCTTGCATGTGCTCTGGCTTCATGCTCCCCACGCGTGCTTGATAACCACCAGCCAGCTAAGCCGTCACCAACACATGTTGCTCACTTCTGTGAAAGGATAGGTTGGGCAGTCCCAAAATCCAGCGTGAGGAATCAGGACGTGCTCCTAGCAAGGGGTAGCCAGCTTCACCGTGCTCTTGTTTTGCGTTCTAGCCATGAGAGATGCCCCCCAACCAGCATTTGAAGTCGCATCAGGCTCCAGAACAAGCCTGTGTATGGTTGGCCATCTAGAGACTCTCAGGCAGCAAGTTTGTTGGCAGGAAAAAAAACACAACTCATTGCCGTGGTCAAAGCTCCTTCAGTGGTCCAAGGCCACAGTTCAATGATCCATGACCATCCGCAGTGTATCTTGGGACCATGGTGGAATGAGAATTGGTCGAAAATGCCACAAACGGCAACGCACCGTGTTAGACTTGCGGCTGGCCTGTTAGCGCTTTCCTGGGTGAAACCGCCCGAGGCTCTGCAGAAAAACCGCCACAGCGAAACCGGCAACCAAAAAGCGAGACACGCCTCCGCAATCTGAACCCATGGGTCCCTTTCAACGCCCAACGAAGTTCTCCTAAAACCCAAACGGTACCTCACTAGCGGCAACACCCGAGAGTTCTCCTCAGCAGCTCCAGCTGAAGCTGCCGGAAGCTGACCATCGCCTCAGGCGCGGGAGCCTTCGATTCGGGTGGGTCTCACAAAAACCCTCCAAGCTTTCACGTTGCCCGGTGGCCCGGTTCGTTTCCTGACAGGGTGTGTGTGTGTGTGTGTGCAAAAGTCAGTCACGCCTGAAAGGGAAGCTAGATGACACCAAAAGTGCAAAGCCCCTTTTTGCGCTACTCGTCGAGCAACGCTCGTGTTTCAAGAAAGGCGACTGGGGCAACAAACATACCCATTTTGTTCATTTTGCCCATGTTGCCCATTTTGCCCATGGTGCCCATGGTGCCCATGGTGCCCAAGGTGCTCATGATGCACTTGGACCATCGGTGAAAGGGTCAAGGGACTGACTCCAGAACGTCTTGTCTTTTTCACGAGAAGGACAAGTGTTCGCCAATCAATCCAACTGGAGCTCCATGTAGGTGTCCAATTCAAGCAGAAGGGTACGCCATGGGGGCTGTGTTGCTGAACTCGAGAAAACAACAAAAAACGGCACACAAATCCAGCAAAACCTCGAGACAACCCAAAAACCCAAAAAAAAAAACACAAAAAAACTGCCAAAGGCTCCCGTAGCACCCATCTCACGCCCTCACGCCCAAAGGCGCTCGCCGGCC